GGAGAGAGATTGCTTTTGTGTGCCTAATTACCCTCTTTCTTAGTAAATCACCACGAATTTCAGCAGCGGTTAGTAAGATCCCTTCCCCTCTCCAGTCAACACAGTGAATCGCCCTTTACTTCTCTGCTAATGTTCTCTTTCTCTGTCCTTGCCCTGACAAATCGTTGTTGCTAGAGGAGATAGTTTGCTGTCACCTTTGCTGGTGCCATTGTGTTACAGAGTGGGTGGGGAGCTTGTTCAAGAGCTGTGATTAAGACCTGCAAAAGACCTGGGATGATTTCTTTGTCTTTTTTCCCCCTCCCCCCCCCAAGTCGTTCTGTGGACTCAAATGCAGGCCCTGTTCTTGGCCTTATGTGTCTAAAGGGGGAGGGTCTGAAGGGGGTGGGAGGCCCTGGGTAAGAGCTAGACCCTTAGGAGCTTGAAATTACACTCTTAAATAACTGTCCTGGTTGTCAATAAATGCTGAGTTGGCCTGCTGTCGGGAGCAAGTCGTCTTAGCGCTCACTATATATTTGGAAATCCAGGGTTAGGTTAATGTTTTCTCAAAAAAGTTTGCCCCTGTGCCTAGATAATATGAAGTAGGAAGGCAACAAGAAATTAACAAATAATGTGTATTGGAAATAACTGGTCCGTGTCTGGAGGGTGCCAGGGCGCAGTCACCAGCATGTAAAGGCAGACATCTGCAGGATGCTTTGGGTTCCTGAGATATTTTTATGAATGAAAGGTGCTTATGACAGGAATGCATGCTGAAATAGGCAGTACTAATGGAGGGGTCTCTAAAGTGTCTTTATCTCCTCCAGTAAACTTGCTCCTGAAGACAGATGTTTAATAACATTCCTATTTGGTTATGGTTGTTAAAGATGATTGAACTACTGACTCATAATCCAATAGATCAATTTGCAATGAATAGCGCTAAGGGTTCAATCCTGTGTTGCTGACTTAGCAAGATGACAACTTAACTTATTGTTTCACTGCTGTAGCTCTTGCTCACAGCTCAAGCCAAATGATTTACCTGGCACTGAATTTGGCCTGCCTTTCAGTTGCAAAAGGCCAAGGATTTCTTAATATGTATAAAACTTGACGAAAATCTCTCTGGGAAATTGGTGAATGTGTGTGTGGGGGGGCGAGACAGACAGGAATTTTGAGTTGTCGCTTAGTTCTGATTTGATCAGATAACATTTGTTAGTTACTGAGTACACAGACTTCTGGTGTGAATACCTGTGAATATGGCTTTGAAATTTGCTTTAGTCAGTAATACTCACGCGCTCAAATAGTTCTTTCCTGCAAGCACTGAAGAAAGGTGGAAATGTGGCCAAAGTAAATTTGTATCACACTTCAAACAAATACCTGTGGAATTCTCTTTATTTGGCAAATGAAGCCCTCCTAATCACTTGAATGGGAATCTGTCTGGCTTAAGGAATGTGGTACCCTGACCTAAGACCCTTGCTAACGCTTACGTCATGAGACCCACTGAACCATGTGGGACTACTTATGCCTGGGAGCAATTTTATGGATAAGTGTTTGCAATAGCAGACCTGGGACAGTGATTACGACTGCACTCACTGATTTTGGTTGCAAAGTAACAGGGAATTATGCATTAGATTGGAGTAACGTGAACCTCGCTCATATTCTCCTGCACCTGCCTTGGAGTTGGACCTGCTCTTTCTTCTAATCTAATTCTATTGTAAAGGATGTTACTTTCATAAACCCTGAAAAATCTTCCAGTAGCTATTTACTCACTGTTTTCTTGTTAGATTGAAATGACTGGCTTGCATTCCGGGAACTTTCTGTAGTAAAAATAAATACGTAAATAAATACCTCCCTTCTCCTATCACTCAATTATTTACTTTGTTAGAAAGTTTTGCAGTTCAGACTAACAACAAATAAAGTGAATTGAACTGTGTGGGGAGAGAAACAACTAATTTTATTAGGTGTTTCTCTTGGAACTTTTCTTTCTTTTTCAAGTGTTGCTCCTGAGTTTAAAGCTTGTTATTGTCAACTCAGGGATGAGGCTTTCTTGACTGTGTCTTTAAACAAAGAATGCGTTGAGGCAACTGTGGATCTGGATACCCTCAACTTGTGGTCTCAGGTTCTGCAGCCCTGCCAGTCGTGTTCTATTCACGACTTAGACTGAACAGTGACTGGGAACACTCTTCCCACTGTTCCTAAATAGCCTTTAGTTTAGTAAATCAAGAAACGGTGAGGTCCCAGAGAAGGACACAGGAAAAGAATGAAAGCAAAAACATTGCCTTTCAAAGCCTGATCATTCTGTCCTATCTTAACATGATAATGACTGGTATATCAGAAGAGGTTTGCATCAAAACTGATGTTTCTTTTATGCTTGATTCCCAAAGCTTCATTATATAATTTTTTTTTCTATGGTAATTGTGTAAAGCAAGCACAGGACAAGGGAGGGAAGTAACTTAAATGGAGACTGTTGATGCTGTCTGTCTCATGTTTGTCGTCCGTAGTAAATGAGACTGGTTTCCAGCTTCTAACCATGTCTACGATCATGCTAACCTTCCAGTGTAAACATTCCTGTTTAAACCTGAACCTTAATCTCTTTGTTTTTCCTGCCCAGTCTCCTTCCTTTCTCCCACTGTTTAATCTGGGTAGATGCTGATCCGCAAGCTCCATTAGAAAGAACTGCTCAATCAGCTGAGACCCCAGGTGTTCTTGTCTTCAGAGCTGTCCATTGCTGGAAGTTTACTGGAGCTTTCATGTTCTCCTGAATGACAGGATATAGCTTAAATCTGAATGTCTGTGCAAATCATGAAGGGGATGTGTACGTGTGAAAATGACCAGAGCATTCTAAGAAGAAATAGGGTCAAGTTTCTGTTAGGGAAAGTTTGTAGCAAGAAGTAGTATCTCTTACAGGCTGGCTGACAACTGAGAGGAGGGAGAACAGATAAGCTTTTGGGCCTGCAAGCCTTTCTCCAGGTCTGCTAATTACCTACATGCTGAATGCAATGTAGTATGCTTGTTTTTTTCCGTGGATGTTTTGCATATTACTTCATAGTGAATTTTATAAGAAGATATGGTTTGTACTTTATTAGTCATTTCTTTGCGTCAAAGAGGTTTCATGTGAATATCTGTGAAGACTGACTCTGGTTTCAAAAGGTATTTCAGAGTCTTCTGCAATGAAATTGAGAGTATCTTGATCAGGATCTATGCAGGTTCTGTACTGTATATGTCTCTGATAGAGTGAATTTTAATGCTGTTATTAAAAATAAAAATAAAAAAAAGGTTAACTGACAGCCCTGGAAACTTCCAAAATCTCATCTCTTCTAGAAATGGCACAGCAGAAATGACACCAACACTTCCCTGGCACACAAACCCTGCTAATATGAAAAAAATGCACAAAGACAGCATGAGGTCTGGGTAGAGATCCGCTCTTAAGCTGCTTTGATGAAGCTAACAGCAGCAGAGACAGTTGTGTGGTGGTAGGCCCAAGGCTGGGATTGGCTAGGATCTGGCTAACTTCACAATGATGACATAAAAATCGCATATCAGGACTCTGTGGAGGTCTGCCCCCACTCTTGAGTGTATGCAAGCAATGTGGGGAGGTAGGACGTGCGTCTTGTGTGTGTCTGCTTTGGGAGGCTGAACCAGGAGATTTGGTTATCAGCTGAGGGAAAGCAGCTGTCTCCAGCTGACTGCTGTTAGTGGCTGTGTGAGTGTACTTAGACAGGCAGACTCCAGAGTTAAAATACTGACTGCAAATACTGGCTGCACCAAGCACAGGGTCACAGTCACAGGCTCTTGCAGAAACAACTCAAAACTGTAGATGGCTGATTTTAATGTGACATTCCACAGCCCAGAGGTTGCCCTCACCCCTTTCATCTGAGACCTCCTCACTTCTCAGATTCTTGCATAACCTCATTTGTTGCATCTTGTGTGATAATCTTGAAGTGCTGCTGTGAAACCCAGGAATAACTTGTGAACTTTGTGTGTGGTTTTACTTTCTTACTAATGAATAGCTCCCCATAGGCTCTCAGACTTTCAAGAAGGAGACAGTGTAGCTTTTTAGTTCTAAACAGGATGATGTAGATTGTTTCTTTATAATGTGAAATTAAAATAACATCAATTATAGTTTTGTGTCTTTTCAAGTGTCTATACCTTTTCTGCAATCTCCTAACATGAATGAGATGTAAAATGATCATATAAAAAGTCTGTTCTAATTATAAGCATATTTTATCTGTTTAAAGGACTGTTGCAGTCACCTTGAATCTCCCTCCAGAGAATGGCTGTTAAAAATTTCATGTGCTTTTGCTCTAAAATACTAGAGGGCCCTGTAGCCAATTGTCCTATAACAATGATGATCAAGACTTTCTCATATATATGGTACCGTGAGAAATCCTTGATATTCCTATAGACCAGTAGCATGTACGTTTTTGCAACAAGAGGGCAGCTTGGTTTCTATGACCTAATGACTCTTTTTTTAAAACTTTTTATCTTAAATCCCTTGTGAATCTCTTTGCTAGAATTTAAAAAACCCTATTCTTTAGTGAAGTCTGTTTCTGAATATTTAAAGTGTAAATAAAATTCAAAAAGCCTCTTCTATTTCAACATGGAATAACATCTTTGCTCAGACTACCTTGTAAGCCACTTGTTTTAAGTAGTTAACTCTAGCTTAGTCTTTTACTCCTGGAGGTATGTTAGGATTTTTTTTTCCCTGCTGAAATATTGACATGAATGTTCACTTTAAACAACATCACTGGTTTTTTTAAAAAGCTTGATGTAAAGATCAAATTCCTTTCTGCCTTCACTTCTGTGAAATTACTGAACCATAAGCACATCCTTCCAAGCATAAAATTGTCTCAGGCACGGGTCTGGTCCTAAAAAGTTAACAGATTTAGTATCTGAAGGCAGGAAGTTCCTTCTATCCGCTCTTCTTAAATTCTAAGAAGCGGCAATAAAGACCCTTCAATGTTGGGACCGTTGCAGGAAAAGCTGATGTTATGAGCCTTTCACTAATGGAAATGTTCTTGCTTTTGCAGGTTTGCCTTTGGCTCCTCCTGGAACTGAGTGGCCTCTTGCTGCGGAACAGGGCATGGAAAGCCCTTCGTTGCGAACTCTTGCCTTCCATGCAGTGCTGAACACCTGACCATGGTCTGATGCAGCTGAGAAGTGCAGACAAACATCCAAAAAGGTAAATTGAGAGATGATATGAATGGCTCATGTCAGAGGACTGGGGAAAGCCTGATAATGTCTTTGGAAAGTGAGAGAACCCACTTCGGTTTGAACTCTTTACTTTGAAGTGCAGATGAAAGAGGAGACAGACTACACAAGAGTGGCACTTGTTTGCAGGGAAGAACTGGTTGGATGAAGCAAGAACTCTGAATGACAGGTGTGTCATTGAGATGTGCAGTGTGTTCCTGGCTACTGGGTGCGGAATACAGCCATCAAAATGCCTTTCATGCAATCTGAACGGACCACCTGTGTGTGGATGCTAACTGTATTCTGACAATTGATTCTGGCAGTAAGAAGGAAGGCTGATCCACATGCATAGTGGGACTGAAATAGTTTATTTGTTATAGCCATCTCTGGGGAGGGTCACTTCCCTTAACAAAGGAGTGAGTGTTGGCTAGAGTGAAAGTTACTCAAGAAAAGTATGCTTCAAAGGAGGTGCAGAGGTAACAGGCCTCAAAACATGTCTTGTGAGGTACTCGGAGAGAATCTCTCACCTTCCAGCACTAGTAACAGTTTTAGCATCGAGTTTGCTAAGGCTAGGATTCTGCTCTGAGAGTTAAGATTAGAGAAATCTACATTCAGGTGAACTATCTCAAAATGGACCTCAGAGGATTTTGATTGCAGTGCTTATGGTAACTTGGAATGAAAGACTTGTATTGGGTTAGTGATAAATGCTGGAAGGAAAACTATTTTTCTCCTTTTCCTTCTCTCTAAAAATAATCACCATCACTTAGATTTAAAGAATAAATTACCTGATAAGAAAACAAGCATTTAAATGTTGCCTTATGTATTTTAGCTGCTCTTGAATTTGTAATGTTTAACTTCTGTATTTTTAGCAAAAATATTTGTGGGTTTTGGATAATTGTGTTTAAATGGATTGAAGGAGTGAGATGATTTGAATAAACATGCTAACTTGGGAACCTGGGAAAAAACATAGTGGAAGGAAAAAATTTAATTAGTGTTAATTGTTGATTGTAGAGTTCAAGGGTAGATAGCACTGGAGATTGTATGTTCTCATTTTTCATTAATTCCTATGTTTGAAGATATGTTTTAATTAAGAGACAAATAGTATATAATAAGTGTCAATTTTCTCTCACAGAACAAAGAGAGCTTTCTAGAAAAATCTGATAATGAAGTGGAAAATGTGTGAACTATACGCAGCTCTTAGTATTGCAGTTACTTCTTTGTATTTTATCACATTTCACTTCATTAAATATTCCTTCTAAAGTTCCTGATTTCAAATGATTATAGGAATAATCCTTCCTCCTTCCTTCTTTAGATTTTTATTAATATACCTCTTGTAGTATTGGGGAAAAATCTTAAGTGTATCTTGTAACAATTTTAAACGTGAGGTAGCAACAAAAAGGACTCAAATTATTTACAATATTTCCTTATTTAAGATCTGGATTCTTGAAAGCCTGATATACCTGGAGGGTGCTTGTTTTTTCCTTTTTCTTTTTTTTTTTCTCCCCTATTTTAGGTCTTAAAGTAATAATGCTTATAGCTAAAACATAGTGGGACCTTATTTTCAGTTGCTTATAGTTTTTTTCAACACTTAAAAAAGATTTTTGTCTCTGTAGCATTGTCTGCAAAAAACAGTAAACTTGGAGAAAAATTGAGAAGCATTTCTTGCAAAGTTGAAATGTTTGTGCTTTGGAGTAGAGACTGGAAATCTTTAGGTGAATAAGGTATAAATTTTGTGTTATTAATGTACCTTCAGCTGCTCCTGTGAAATGTCCCTCAGATTTAGCCAAGTTATAAGCCTTTGAGAAATCTCAGTTTACATAGTTTAGTGAAATTTGTAAAGGAGAATTGGAAAAAAATCCATTTTCCTATTTCGTTTGTCTTAATGTTTTCCTCAGGATTGCTCCTTCTGGAAGGATACTTCATCCAGCCCCACTGTCACTATTCATGTGCACATGAGACTTTAAAATAATAACTTACTGTAAGCCTTAGCTTATGCAAGGTTGTATTTTAAAGTGATCGGAGAAAGTTCTTGCATTCAGAGCATCACGAGGCTAATCCAATTCCTACTGCGGTTTGTAGTACTTTTTCTACTTGGGATTATGTCCCAGTAGCTTAATAGGGCACACCCTATTGCAGTTTATTGCTGTGATTTAAAAATATTTCAGTGGTTGTAGGAAATCTTAACTTCTGTAACTGGACATCTGGCAAAGATCTGCCTCCTTTTAATAGTCTCATTCAACATCCTGCAGCACTAGTGTTGTCTGCAAAACATTTATGCTTAATAATTTTATGAAAGGTCAGCCAATCTCCAGCTTTAATAATGATTTAAAATGGTTTAAAAGCTAGCAGAGGTATGATTTTGGCAAGTAACCATCCTCAAAACTGTAGTTTTTAGAAGAAATTGTTAAAGAAGTTTGCATTCACATGTTTTAATGTTATGTATGTGACATTTCTTATTGAAGGGGATTCCTTTATCACTGGGCTAGAACAGTTTTTCCTGTTCACTTAGAATTGTTTGAAACATTAGATGGTCTCTTTTTAAAAGAAAAGTTTCACAGGCAGTTGGCTAAATAAGTATTGCTGGAAGATTGGATGTGCTTTTGTTTTTAGGCTACCTTAATAAAATTGTATTATAAAAAAGACCAACCTTTAACTTGGAACATAATGTTTCACAACAAAATGTATATATCTTCTAAAATAACATTTTTTCCCCAAATGCAGTTACAGCATGTGTTCTCATCCTGTGCCGCCTAGAGGAAGGCTGGCTGGTTTGTGCAAGGCTACCAGTTTGTTTCCCAGCCATGGGCTTGACTTCCTCTATGCTACAGAATGAGCTGAGACACTTTCTTCTGCTTAGGGTGTGAACAGCATCTCTGCTTTGACTCTGAATTCCCTTGCTTTTGTGGGTTTAAAGGAGACCCCGTTATATCCAGACAACTGCCCTATAGTTGTGTTGCTGATTTGTAGCTAATAGGAGGCCCTCATATCAAAGGTACAGTTGCTCTCTACCTCTGAAACCCACTGGAAGAGGTTCTGGGACAGGAATTTTTTGTGAAGATCCCCTGTTTGGCGATGAAGGTTCTGTTTTCAGCAGACCCTAAGGAAGGTAATATACATTCACGTACCTGCTTTAGCCCTGCATCCCCGCTGTGGGTGAACTCAGGCTCACATGCAGAAGCAGAAAACTCAAATTGGTGCCACCGAGGCAGAAGTGTTGCCTTTCTGCGTGGAACGAGAGAAAGCTAAGCAAAACTTGATCTTTTACATGTGTCTATACCCAGGAAGCACAGAAGAATGTATAGACATCATGTGAATTGTAGAAACATTGACTGTTACTGACTGTAGAATTTTGCTCAAATCATAGGCAAATTAGTAAATGAAATATAATAACTGAAGTCTAGATGCTCTGTCTACTGGCCATCACTAACATTCTTCTAAGAGAAAGAAACTTAATTAAAATAGACTTTCTGACGGCCAGCTCTGTCCATTGCCTAAGAATGTAACAAAGAACAACTTGTTACACTTTTGCCAGTTCCCCTACCCTACTGAGTTTTTCCATGTATTACTGGGGTGGGGGGGCGGGAAATATGAACTCCATGGAGCTGTACATGTGTAACTGGAGGCATAATTTGACCTTTGAGACCTTTGTTACTGCTGGTGATAAAGCGAAATGAAAGTCATGGTTGATTTTCAGGTACCAGAGCAAGTCTGAAAAATGCATAGTTAGAGGAAAATACCATTTTACTGCCAGCTGGCTTTGCTGTGACCTGCCCTGGCTTGGGTTTTTAAAACCTGCACCAAACCCTTTTACCAATTAAAAAGGTGAAGCACAGAGAGTATGTCAGTGCAGTAATACGATAGTGCAAAATATCAGGAAAGGAAAGAAGTGGGGAGAAAGTTTTGTTGTCCTTCCATAGAATGACTAGAAATTGATCCGATACCTTTATGCTATCATACAGGGCTCCCTCACCTCTACCCGCCTGCCTGCGGCTTCCCAAGGAGACAGCTGCTAGAGCAGCAGTGGCTTGAATGTGCCCTGGCTTCTGTGAGGGTAGCTGGAGATTGAGGAGGCACCAAATGGCTGGGGAGTCTCTAGCATGTGCCCTCTCTGCTCCTTGGGAAGGGCCCAGGAGGCTCATGAGTTGATGCAAACTAGACAGCTGCTGTGACACCACTGTCATATCCTAAATGCGAACAGTGAGATCACATGTCTCACTTGGGAAAGCAGCAGAATCTCTCCCATTAAAGCTCTGCGTTCTGAGCCAGATTAATGTAGTAGGCTACAGGCTGCCATGCTGTGGGCTTAGGTCAGGTGATCTGGCTCCCATGTGTAATGATACAGGCCACTTGCTTCTGTAGTAATCTTCCTTCTAAACCTTCCCCCAATTAGAAATTGCATTGACCTAATCTAAATCTCTTCAACTTCATTGAATCCCAGCATGCTTCCTGTTTAATCCCTCACAGCAAAAACATTGTCAGAGATGCAAGTTCTATTTTGTTGCTGTTTGCTTGGCACTTGCCACTCCTGGACATTGTTTGGTCTGTGCTGTGGCCCTTACCCAAAACGAGCCCTTCTCCTTTTCCACAAGCTAGCCTGCCTCTTGGTTTTTTTTGGAGATTGCATAACTTATCTGTCAGAAGATGATTCACATTGGCTAGCTGAGGCGCATAGCAGAAATACCTGAGCACATTATAAACTGTCTGCCTCACTGCAAAGGCAAGGAATACATGGTTTATGCTCCGCAAATTCCAAGGCAGCTTTGATGCTCGTTAGCATACAGTATCTCCAGCCCCTCCGTGGGTGTGCTGTGAGCTCTCCTACTGTTTGGGACAGGCAAGCTTGCTGTGCAGACATTAGCAGAAAAGATTCTATGTCAGTGAGAAAAATGTTGATTGGGTCTAATTTTTTTAATTTTTCAAAGCTATCTGAAATTTGCAAGCTTCTATATGAACATGAAAGTTATCTTGGGACTGTTTGTCCTTGTCTTTGCCTTGACTGAAGCTAAACGGAGTGGGATCATCTGTGTTTTGGACAGACCCCCAATAAGGGCAGACAAAGGATTCCTTTATCAGGAACCATGATGATGCTACCTAGTGAAGTGCGGTTAAAACACTCTTGAAAACATAAAAACAAGCAGTGTTAGTAATCCATGTCATCAAAAAGAAGCATTTATTAGAGACAGGCTTTTCACATACTTAAAGCTATATAAAATAATTGTCTGCATTGTCATCTAGTAATTCAGAGAAGGATGAGGCTCAAGTGGGCTGGATGATCTGTAATACAGAACTAAACACAGTTTGATATGTGTTCTGAAAGTGGTTGCCTGGTTGGGTTTGGTCTTTTTCAGCATGGACTTGCAGGGGCTACCGAAATGCAGCTCTGCATCATAATTTGGGTACTCAGTTCCAAAGCTCATGTACCAGCCTATTTTCATGATGTTCATATATTTTGAGTATAAGTCCTCTGAATATATATGCAAATAAAAGTAGCTTACAAAGTAGGATCTTTTATTTTAAATTCTCATGCACTTCTCCCACTTTTCTAAACTCCATGAATGGAGTACATTTCTTTACTTTTCTTTCTGCTATGGCAGTAGCTTTTGGCATGGATACTAACTCACCGTTGCTTTGGGGCACGAGCCTAGCCTGGCATCCAGAACCACCAATTGGCAAGACCATGTACTTCATAGGCTTGTAACCAGACACCTGCCTGCTCTAGTGAACATGGTTTCACTGGCTATAATAAGTTGCATTTTCTTATGGAAAAAATTTGGAGTTTAGTTCTACTGCAGGTTTGTTTTTGATTTGTCCTTAGTGAAATATTCATTATCTTGCTATGATTTGCCGGGCCTTGCGTGTTGAGCATTAGATACGCAATCAGCTCTTGTGCCGGAGTTTTGCACAGCTTACAGTGAAACTGACAGTTTTCATCAGCCGTGGTCTTGTCCATCACGCTGGGCCAGGGTCCTGACAGCTTCTAGGCTTCTTGGTTGTCCTTTGACATTCAGGCTTCCAGACCAAAAGTGCTGGCTATGTTACCTTGCACCTGATGGGCTTACTGCTTGCAAGATGCTGTGTATATGTGATCAGACAGGTCTGGTGCATTTTGGTTCGGACAGGGAGGGGTCCAGCACTGAGTCGAAACTAGGGCTGGGATGCCTTTGTCTTGAGCACTGGAAAGAGGAAGAAAACCCAAACCTAGGGTTGGATTGTCAAACTATTGCGATGCTTATAGATAAGTTGTCTAAAGGAGTTGAAATCCTTTTGCTTTTTTTCCTGCTTTTTCAATAGCATCTGGCACATGTGAACTTAAAAGTAACTACCTTTCCCTTCTCCCTTTACCTCAACACAGATATCAAAAGTAAAAGCAGTTCCTAAAATTCCCAGGACTCCTACTGGAAATGTAATACTAGTCTCCAAGGCTTAAACAAAAGCAGTAATTACAGCTTCCTTTCATAGAACAAATGTGTGCAGTGGTGACTGTTACCTTTTCCCTCTTCAGGGAGGGCGCTATGCGCAAGCCCTGCAAGGAGAGCCTTGGAAGCCCTGTCTGGGAGGACACGGCTGCTGCTGGGAGCTTTGGCACCAGCCCTGCTGTCCTGGCTCCTCCTTTCCATCTCTAGGGGGCAGGACCTCTAATGCTGGGACCATGTTTTGGGTGCATAGCTCACCATCTTCGGCAGAAAAGGCAAGAAAAAAAATGAAATGCTGCATAAGATAGGCAAACTTCTAAACAGGAAAAACAAAAACCAATAGTCTACAAGCCTGTGGAAATGAGTATATAAAGATGTAAGATAACCTGTGATTTCTGCACTGGTGATCTTTATCCGTAGCCATCTAAATAATCTTCATTTTTGCAGGTGTTGTTTATTCTGCAATTATTGATCTGAGCAGATAAGTAATTTTATTAATTTAAGGGAAATGTAATTAGCTTTCATTAGACAAAAGTAAAAATTATGGGATTTTTGCTACAAAATCCAAGTAATGGATCCAGATACTAGATTTATAGGGGCATCCTGTAGCATCCTTATGTAAAATGATAATAGACACCATGTTTTCCCTTTGCTTTTAAAAAATAACTCTTCTGCCCTATATTCCACTGGGTAACCGTGTGCAGTGTTGAATACTGAATTTTTAGTATTGATCACTAGCTTAAAGAAAACAATTTCTGCCTGACTGGCCCTAATACTTTTAAAGCATTAGGTGCACAACCATATTTCTGCTCTTCCATGAATGTTCTGATTCAGGATTTCAGTTCCCCAAAATCCCTTATTTACTACAGAAAAAAATTTTATTAGGGAGTGTTAATTAATAGGTTTCTCCTGTTCACTATAAAGCCTTCTTTTTCTAGAAGATCCATGCATATTTAAGTCACATAAATGGCTACATAGCAGCATATAACACTTGCGCTAGTCTTAAATGAGCTAACTTGAATGCTGTAAATGTTTTTTCTCATCATTTATCTTTTCTAGAAGCTATAAACTCCTTGTAATTGTGATGCTGGGGGATGCTGTGCTGTTCAATAGGGCACATACAGAGCATTAGGAAAGAAAGCACTTTTTCTACACTATTCTGGCAAAGTTTCCTGCTCAGTTTGTGCATTCTGTCTACTGAAACTTTCCCAGAAGTTTCACTTGGCTCAGACATTTTCATGGTCTGTCCTCAGTGGTACTGTGATAATGCAGTGTTAAAAGCATGTGTAATGTTTTCTACATCTCATCAGGAGCAGCCATACTTCAGCAAAGATTTAAGAGAATCATAACCATAAACACATACAATCTTTTTTTTTTTAATGTGTTAAATATCTTGAGCCTTCTAAAGTGTTGATAGGAACTAATGCTGCAGTAGAACTGGTAGTAGAGCCTTACTATCTGAATAGTGCAAAATGTAGATGCAAAACACACTCCTGGTATCTTAAAAAGGAAGAAAATTATTTTGAACAATCTGATATGTTTGTAATCAGCTGCTTTTTGAGGCATGAGGCTTAGTGGTGAGTATCTAGGAACTTAGGAACTAGTTAGTTTTATAACTGAAATGGAATTAGTACAGCTAGCAGTATTGAGCAAAGGAAGTCCTTTTTTTTTTTTTTTTTTTTTTTTTCCACTGTTTCTAACTGACCTTTCTTGTAGTGTCCTTTCTTTCCAGCATTTCTCCCTCTAACTTTTGCCTTCCTCCTCTCCAGTATGAATTCTTGCCTGTTGGAGCTTGGGTGAAGCTACCTTGATGTATGTCTGGATGTCCTCCAGTGACCATCTGGTGCTGCTTAGCTGTACCTTCTGGCCCTGAAATGAGATCATCCAGGAAAGAAGCCAACAAGTTCTCATGGCCATTGGTCTCTAGCTTGGATGTGTAACAAAGAGCTCCTGGAGTAAGAGAGGTAAATGAAATGGAGATACTAGTCGGTGCTTTTGTGACTTGTTCCCTTAACCAGTTTCATGGAAAAAAAAAAGTTTCTGATTGACTGTATTCCTGTTCTTTTGTTTTTTGAGACTGGACTTGGCGGATTCTGAATACACAATAGCTCTGAGCAGTATCTTTAAATTTTTATTCACGTCAGGAACCTGACAAATATAACTTAATCCTCACCCTGAAGGCTTGTGCAATGCTGTCCTGGCAGTTGCCAGCTAGGATAGCCTACCAGGCAGGAGTCTTATTAGGAGCACATACTAATAGTTTATTTTAACATTTCTAATCTTAGAAATTGGGAGGGGAAAAAAAAATGCTCATGCTGTCTATGTCATGTAGATGTGAGTATTCCCATTTAATTGCATGGTGGGCTTCTCCACACAGATTTTTCTCTTCTCCCTCAGCTGTCTTTGATTATTAAGTATTAATAGAGACTTTATTCAAATCAGAGCTGTCTATTAATGAGACTAAAATTTCCCTCATACTGGTAAATGAATGCAGCCCTTAAGTTGATCAAGAATTGTATGCTTGTGGAATCTGTCCGTAACGTGGTAGTAGCTTTTTATTTTTTTATTCCTAGAGGTATATCTGACACTCTTGCTGTTGTCATGGAGTGGTGAAAACCTTCATTTTAGTTGAGTTTTATCTGCTAGATTTCTGAAGTGGCATTGCAAATTAATTATGCTAGTGATTATGATAATACTGAAAGGATAATGTGAAACAATAATGATGTGAAATACTACAATATTTTTATCATATTTTCTGGATTTTCCTTCTGATATGGTAAGTTATATAAGATAGCAGCTGTCGATTATTGTTTTGTGGATTTGGTACAGACCTTTTTTCTGGGAGTGGATGTCATTAGCCAGACCAAAATTACTTTATTAAATGATGAATCAGCCTGAGGGTGACAAGGTACAAAGAAGAGAAAAGCGCAAGTAGGAGACTGAAATAGTACGGCCTGTGTAATAGAGCCAGTCAGATCAGTGGGCTGTAATGGTCCCGTGTAGTTCTAAAACCCTGTGAAAGCATAGGGAGGGAGTGGAGAAACGGAGGAGGCCAGGGATGAGTTAATGTGAAAGGTAGGATGGTAGTATATATGGAAAAGTTCTCTCTCTCTTTTCAGTTTGCAAAGTCTTGATTTTTGCGTGTGACATCTGTTGTTCAAAGGTCACCTTAGTGATAGATATAGTGGGAAAAGTCATTGCCTTTTCAAGTAAGTGACAAGAGGAACAGTTTTTGAACTTTACATTTAAAAAATAATGCATTTAGGTATAAAAAAGTGATTGCTGAGAAACAGCTTCAAACCAGCCTTTCCCAACTATTTCTGTTTGTTTATTTACGAAACAAATAAAATGTTCCTTGCTATCTCAAGTAATATATCCTAAAAGCTGTGATGCTATGCATGTAAAATGCAGTTTAACTCGAGAGATTTGTTTGAAAAAAAAACTTATTTCTGTTCCTTGTTCTGCTGAAGTGATGGAAAGTGAATTCATCTCTCCTGATGAATTGGAGAGACAGAATTTTCAGGGACAAAGATGACCAGAGGAGGACTGGTTGATACCAGTGTCCAATGTTCTGGACTGGTTGTATTAAGCTCTGTTGTAAAAGGAGATGATCACCTGGTGATTAGCAACTTGTTTTTTGAATGGAGTGAAACAAAAGGTGTTTCTTCATCCCTCTTTCTTGTGTTGTGTCTTGCTGATTTCAACAAAAGGCATGGCTATTGTTTTGTGACCATCAGAGAAAAGGACAAGTGCACAATGTACCTGCCTGCTGGTGGGACTGCTTGTCTGCTCTGTTCTTTCTCTGTTTTACCTGACCTGAAAATCTGTCTTGGTAGTGTCTTCAGTCTTTGCCTTGGCAGCCCAGATTCCCAAATCTGATCTTTTTCTGGCAGTGTGTCATGTTGCAAACTAGCTGTGGGAGGGCCACATGTGATCTGCAGAGTTCTGTGATGTGCCCTGTGGCCACCTCTGTCTTTCCATAAAGAGATATGGACCTCAGAGACTACGGGTCCCAGCAAGCAGTGCTCTGTTTTGATCTGATAAGAGTATGATCAAATCTAGATGTGCATAGCATGTTAGGGCGTGCTAGCTACATGAACCACACCTCAGCATTCAAGATAAAGGTGGCTGCAGACTGCACCCACCAGCGCAAAGTAGGTGTAGCTCTCAGGCCATGGGCTGGAATTATTTTTTATTTTTCTCTGCCTCTCAATTTAATAAATTGTCTCTTTGTTTCCTATCCAGTATTTCGAAGGGATTCTGGTATACAGCACGGTAGTTCTTGTGCTGTGCTTTCGGTTTTGGGGTTCTCCCAGATGCATCTTTTACCTTCTCCAGGATGGCTCCCTTATATGCTGTGCAGGAATAGGCAAAACTTCAGGAAGTGGCAAATTGCTTCAAGAGAGGGTGTTGCAAGACATCCAGCCCAGTTTTTACTTGCCAAAGAGACCTGGCTCATTCAGACAAGCTTTGGCTAAGCAGTCTGAAATTTGGAGTGGTTTATCTGATATGGTGTGTGTGGTTTTTTTGTTTTGGGTTTTTTTTTTTTTAAGTTTCCAGGGTAGGGAGGGACTTCACCCTATTTTGACATGAACAGTTGAGAAAGGAACCATTGGACACACCTTTGGACATGAACAGCCTAAGACACCTGCTCTGAAAATACCTTCGGACTAAGAGCACAGCAGTTAGTGCTGCTTGGATGCAGTTCAGGATGAGAGCATCCCTCTCAGTCCAGGTCTAGATACCTTGCAAAATACTTTGCATGTAGGCAGGCTGGAGGCTAGCTTATCTATGGCAGTACCTTTTGAAGTCCTGGTCTTCAGCCCGGCCTGCATCTGAACAAGCAGAGGGATGTCCAGAAGTTCCTTTGGGGTTTTGGTAATCTCAGATGTTTCTTAGGGAGTGTGTGAGCCGTAGGTGACTCTTCTGAGATTGTAGGCAATTTCAGTGTTTCTGGTATCTGTTGTAAAATAAAAATCTAAGAACGTAAGTACTACAAATAGTTGCATCACTTGTGACTTTACATCTTTATTTCTTGCTCTGTAGTCTTGCAAAAGCTAAGTTCAGTAGAGTGAATGGCTTTTTTTTTCCATATTCTTTTCAAATTCAGATAAATATCACTCACCATAACAATGGCTTTATCAGGTAGATCAAGAAGTCCATGAGCTCAGTATTCAGTCTCAGACCATGGCCAATAATGGACATGCAGGGAAGGAGCAGAAATTACATATGTGAGGAATGAGCCTCCTCTCGGGGTGCTCTTCCTTGTTTGGCGATCTTGGGCTTCCCAAGACAGCAGTTGCTTCTGGATCATGGTTACGCTTCAATTCCTGCTTATATATGCTCTCATACAGACTTAACATCACAAAAAAACATTGCTACTCCGATTTCTTTCTTTATGTAACTCCATGATATGGGTCCTACATTAAATGCTGCATGAAGGCAGTCAGACCCTGTTACTTGTTCCTGCTTGAGGCTTTGTGTGTTTTAAAACTCAGAGTTAATTCTCAAGGCTGCAGTTTGGTCATGTATTAGCTCTATTTATTATTCTTATTGAACCCTGAGATCTGGCTTTTATCTCAACTTGATAAATAATGGAACCTTTGGCTATTAGAGTGAGGGTAAATACATAAATAAAGAAGAGCAGTTAATGAATAAGTATCTGGTCAACAGAGATGGCAGTGAAAAAAGATACCCGTCAAACCTTCAGCACCATAAAAGTAAGCACATTTGGCCTGATCCAACATCTGAAGAATTTTCCCCCTGATTCCAAAGGGTTGTCTTGTTAGCCTGCATAATATGGATTCTTGTCTCTGTAGCCTTCTTTTAAAACACAGCTATGTTATTTGACTTGATTCCCTCCTGCAACAATGTTTCTGGAAAAAACAGCTTCATGGAGGAGTGGTACAATGCTATACTAGAATTGCCCCGTGGATGAAGGCAAGATAAAGTGGATGATCCAGCCCTATTAAGGGAATAGCCAGCTAAGCATGGATTTCTCCAGAGGAATCCTGTAGTAAGGAAAGTCAAAAAGCCTCTGATACAGACTTTGAGAAGTCTCACTGCTGTCATTACAGGGCATATTTCTTCTGCCTCCACTACAAGGCGTATTGTTTATTGATTGATTTTTAACCAGAGTAAGTCTTAATGAATTTATACCTGCAAGTAATCCTATCAAACTGCTGGGCTGATAAATCTGTCATGGGATTTCTATCTGAGGCCCATTTTATTCTGACTTTCTGGCATACACCAGCCTTTACCCTAAGGCACTTCATCTATGCTGTCTTTTCTACTTCTGGATATTCTCTTGCTGTCTCTGACTCCGCCTCAAATATTTCTGTATCTTAGGACCTGGTTCTCCTACTGTTGTCCCCTGGTGCAATTACAGCATGATTAAAATATGCAGTATAGCTGGGACCTTGATCGTGTTGTAACAGGAATATAACCTTAGACATATAGCTGGGCTACAGTGTAGTAATGATGTCAGGGTACAACCCTGCTCATCTTAGTAGCATGGGGTGGGGTACTTTTCCTTGACATTTTCACTCTTTCTAGTCACACCACTTGCTATTGTTGTATTTCAAGCGTCATTATCCCAGGTGCCTAGATCAGCCTCAGGGCTGATCTTGCAAATACCCCTACACAGCCTTTCCAACGTTTTGCTGCTGTCTGCAACTCAGTGTGGTATGCACTACTTAGATTCCCCTTATTTTCAAAACTTTAGTTGCAGAGTTACAAGCTGTGTTATCATTCTTATTCCAAAAGAGTTTATGTACTTATTTGTTTGTTATATATTTTAATTTTAGGAGCCTGAGTTCAGAGGCCAATCTCTAATATTGGTGTTCAGGAAGAATTTTTCCTTCAGGGCAGGCAGGCTACTAACAAAGCACTCGTTTCTTCATTTGTCCACTTTTGGCCCCTTTCTGGGAAGCATCCGATGCTGGTGAATATCAAGAGACAAGAT